GATAATAATTATATTAATAGAACTACTTATAAATTATTTGATTACTTGACTTTTTACAGATGGCTGTAGAGGTTAAACAAGGTATTTCTCAATTAGAACTTCTTTATGAAGAATTAACAAGAGAAGAGATAGCAAAACAACAAAGACGAGAAAAATTACGTTTGAAACGTAAAAAGAAGAAAGAACGACGATATGAGACAGAAGAAAAAGAAAATACATGTGATGTATGTTATTATTTGAAAATTTTCAAAATTTATATATTTAATATTCTTACATAAATTAATTATTATTAGTGTTCGAGCAAAAAGCAAAGTGGTAATAGTGATACATCTTGTGTTTGTGCGGATTCAAAACCCACAACACAAAATATAGATCAACATAAGGTAACTAATACTATATTTCATTACGAATATATGTAAATATATATAAAAATGCTTAATATATATACATAAAGTACTTTCTGTTTTTTTTTAGTTACAAGTATTAGATCCAAAAAATAAGGGACCACCTACATGTAAATGTCCGGATTGTGTAAAAAAATCAAAATCTAGTATATCAAGATCACAGAGTCAAACACAATTAGCATTCCCAAAAAAATCATCGAACGTGCAAAAAACTACAATTAAAAAGAGTTCTGAATCAAAGACCAAAATTTCTACAAATCAAATTAAAAAAAGTACATCTAAGAATCTTTCTGAAGAAGAATTATTTGATGCATGTGAATCGTGTAAGGTAATAATTTAATGTGTCAATACATGCTCTACACAATTTTTAACGTACGTTATAAGATTTAACTATCATTCAATGTATAGTGTGATCTTTCGGAAAAGATTGAAAATGATCATTGGCATAATTTAGAAGACTGTAAACATCCAATGACTAAAGAAATAGTAGATGCTTGGATTGGAAAGCCAAGCAAGAGATGCAATATGTGGATAGAAATGAAAAAACGTTTTGAATTATCAATCTCAGAGAGAAAAAGTCGTTCTTCAAGCGAACAATCATCACAAGATTGCGGTTATTCATCGGAACATAATATTAGTAGCTCTTCTCTTCCTAGTACTCCAGAAGGATCTGAAGTAGCTTGTAGTGATGGATGTTGTAATCATGAGAGAGATTGTCACGATATACGACCATCTGATAAACTTGTTCATTCCAGTTCTAGTATCTCATTGTTAAAAGAAAGAGGTGGAGGTTTAACACTTACCCAAATGTTAGAAGTAAGATCGTAATTCATTATGATTCAAAGGTTTTTTTTGCATTTAATAATTTAATTTTGTTTTTAGGATTCTTATTTATCTGGTGATGAAGAAAAAGAAAGTTATATTCCAGCTGAGGAAGTATTGGAATTTAAATCTCGAATGTGCCAAGTTCTTGAAAAACGACAAGAATTGCGTCAAACATTGAGAAAACGTTTTGCTATTTTATGCAGCCATCATAAACCCTTTACCATTCCTAATTAAGAATTCCTAATAGATATGATTACTTAATAGGATACAATCTTTCTTTTTTACATTGATTTACTGCCAGTAGAGAAACAGGAGTGCAATAGATGTATTTCGGATAACTATTATCATTGGATGTCAACCTTCCTCAGAATAAAATATCGTTGGAGATATACTACATCGTAAGAACATCATATGGTATGGTTTATCTGTAAGCAAAGAATTACATCTAATAAATTAGAGGTACGAAGAAACAATTATGCCTTGAATTTTGTTGTTTCTTATGCAGTTGAATTTATAAAAATAAAAGACATTTGTAGATGAAAATATAATTGTAAATGAACGAAATCAGAATTTATAGTCAAATATTAATTCTGAAAACTGGATTTAAGAAAAAGTAAGTTATTAAATTAATGCACAAATATGGTCAGTGATCAGAATTAAATGAGACTGATTTCCATGTGTTTATATAATTAAATAATAATTTTTGGAAGCATGTATTGATTGTAAAAACATGCCAAATTACGATTATCTGCACGTAGTAAATAATTATTGTATAAATTACTATATTTTTTTGAAAGCAGAGATTTAGATTTGTTTTTCTGCAAAATGAATGTAAATGTTGTAATAATGATATGAGCGGAAAATATTAAAAATTAATACAAAATATATATTATATTACATTATGTACTATATTATTTCAAGTTACAGCTTTTTTGTACAATAATATTATAAAAGATTTTGCTTTTTTTTTACACGATATATTACACGAAAAAATTTACATAAAAATATTAAAAATATTTGAACTATTATATTTAAGCTTTATATGAAAATGATTTAATAGAAGCACCGGCACTTTGTTATAAAAGAGTAAAATTATGCATATGTATTTTCTTTAGATATTATACATGTATATATATTGATTAATGTATATAAGGAATGACTAGTTTGGATTATGTTGTGTATTATTATGCTTCTTTTCAAACTAGTTTTAGTGATCAGTTTATTCATTATATTGGGCAAAGCATAAGCATGCATTTGTTCCTCCAAAGCCAAAAGCATTTTTTAAAGCTACACGTCTAGAAATTGTATTCCAATTTTTTTTTACATTAGGTGCAAAACTTAAGCTTGTTTTTGTATCCAATGTATGTAAATTTAATGTTGGAGGAATAATACCCTCTTTTATTGCTAAAATAGTAAAAACAGCTTCTAAGTTTCCTGCTGCTCCTAACAAATGACCATGAGCACCTTTTGTACTAGAGACTGTTATATTTTTACTGTGGTGACCCATAAATGATTCTATAGCTTTTAATTCAATGCTATCACCCAAAGGAGTTGAAGTTGCATGTGCATTAATAAAAGTAATTTCTACACTTTTTATGCCAGCATCTTTTATTGCTCTATCCATAGCTAATATAGCACCAGTGCCATCTTCACTAGGTGCAGTTAAATGTGCTGCATCACCAGATAAACCATATCCTAATACTTCTGCATAAATATTAGCTTTTCTTTCAAGTGCATGATTTAATTCTTCTAATACTAATATAGCAGCACCTTCTCCCATAACAATCCATCTCTATCTTTATCAAATGGTCGTGATGCTTCATATGGAAAATCATTTTTATTAGTACTTAATGCACGAAGTCTACAAAATGCAGCTATAGCAAGAGGACTAATACATGCTTCTGCTCCACCACATATCATTACACTTGTTTCTCCACCACGAATAAAACGAATGCGTCACCTGTAAATTAAATATATTATATTTTAATCATAATAAATATATAGACAATTTTTTCAAATTTGTTAGAAATTATAATACCAATTGCATGTGCTCCAGTTGCACATGCTGTTGAAACAGAATGATTTGGACCACGAAAACCATATTTAATACTAATTTGTCCTGCAGCCATATTTGGTAATATTCTTGGTACAAAATAAGGACTAACTTTGTTATAGCCTTTTTTTAAAGCTTCATATGTTGCACATACATCAATTAAATCTATCATTCCAATTCCTACTGCTACTCCTGTATCTCTTTTATCAGTTTCATCTTTTGGTTTCCAATTTGCATTATTTAATGCTTCTTCAGTAGCTATTAAAGCATAGGCTGTAGCAGGACACATTGTACGTAATTCACTTTTTGTAAAATATGAATCAATGTTTAATTCATTAGGATTATTTCCTTTAGGTATTAATGCACCTAAAATTATTAATTATTAATATATATCTATATATATAATAAAATTATCAATTCATTTAAAAAATCAGATTTATAAAATTATAAAATTCTTACCGACTTTGCAAGGTAATTTGTCATACTCTGGATTAATCAACTTAGTGATACCTGATTTGGAAGTAATGAGAGCTTGCCAAGCATTCTGTGTACCAATTCCAAGAGGAGATACTACTCCTAATCCTGTAACCACAACTCGCCGTTTGCATCTTGCAGCGGTTGTTAATGTACGATTAATAATAACAAATGAGATAAACATTTGACCGGTAACAAATATTTTAAAATATATTAAGGTTATATCTTATTATATCATCACTTCTTCTATGAAAAAAACTTAATAGATATGTATTAAGTTTTATATAAATATTTTTTACTTTCATTTTAAAAATAATATTTGAAAAAAAATACAAATACACAATTTTCTTTTAAAAATATGCAATGGAAACATTATTACGTAGAAATATAAAGATTAAGTTACTAAAACTTAAATAGTATGGCGCTAAGATCCATAGTCCCTAGTAGTATTTATTTAATCGTAACTTCATCAAATAATTAATTTTGTATATATTTTATATAAAATGTACAGTTAATTTTTTATAAAGATAAAACAAATCATTTTATATATATAATATGAATATATATAATGAAATGCATATATATATATATAATATATATATATATATATATATATACATATATGTATATATGTTTATTTATATTTTAAGGATATCATTAAGATATACTTTTTCTTTTTAATAATTATTGGAAACGATATTATTCGAATGTCATCACATTATTATTATATAATCAATTGTTAATTTATACTTAATTTTTATATTTTTATATATATTAAATGTTATAAAAAAATATTTTATTTTATTATACTCAATTTTTAGAAGTTCTTTTTATATTGATTGAGTAATCAAATTTTTTATAAAAGTTGTTTTAATATATAGTATATATTATAATATTGAATTTTGTAACTGGAATTATATATAATTTAGTAATGTATTTGTTTAATATTTTTAACATAACTAATAATAAAATATTTAAATAGACGAATTTTAATGATTTATTTTCAAGTGATATAAAAAAAGTAATTTTGAAATATTTTTTTATTATTTAATAAAATTAATTAACTGGTACTTGTTGTATCAACTGAATATATAATTAAAAATAAATTTAAATTTTCTGATTTAAAAAAGTTTGGATATGATTGTACTTCAATATGGCGAACCGCGACAAAGGACGCAGAAAGTGGGGAGGATTTTTACAAGGTACCCTGAAAAAATTATATCACTGAATAATATAAGTATCTTAATTTGCAATCTCATGATTATATTTTATGTGTACGTAGTTAATAAACACGTATGCCCCTTTCAATTTTGTTGGGTGCATTTACAGAGTTAACCTCACCAAACAAGCTAACCTAAAAATACAGCGGGAATTATTATGCTGTGATATGTTGTGAAATTTACCAGAGTAAGAAGTAAATTTAGCATACATTATAATTTCTGTTAGATTTTTCTAGAAATTATAAATTTATTTCAACTAATTAAAGATTATATAATTTTTATTCTAATTTTCATAGATTGATAGTAACTGTAGTTACTGTCAAGAGTGTCAACAATCACTATTAAGTTATTATACTTAATAGAGTGTTATATTCAATTAATAATAATATTTAATTTCTCTATACAAATAAATGTTATATTATTTAATATATTAAATATTAAGTATATAAAGAGAGACTATTAAAAATATAAATATTGTATATATAACTAATTTTTGATGAATTTTATAATAAAAATTAATTTTTGACTCATGCCACAAGCACATTTAACTTATTTATTATATATAATAAAATTTAATAAGAAAAGAATGTATTTATTTATTTATTTTGTATTGTATTTATTTATTTATTTCCTAATTGATTTATGATATAAATTACTTATCTTTTTTTTATTGTTTATTATAGATAATAATTATAAAATTTAGCAGTTTTATTATTTAAAAATTTTCTAGAAATTTTTTTTATTTTAAACAATGATATTATCATAATACTATAGTAATAAGTACTTATCAGTTTATAATACAATTTTTGAATTTATAACATGCTTTAAATTAAATTAAATGAAATTTTTATGTAAGTAAATGTAATATATTTCATTTATTATAGTAAATATAAAACTGTACTTTTTAATGAATTTACAATATATTAAAATGTATTTCATTACATATCATTATTTATAATGAATAAATTTAAAAATTAGAAATTTTATACTTTCAGATAATTCAAAATTAGAAAAGGACAGATCAATGGGAATGAGAGGTGGAGGAAATAGAGCATCTCAAGCTTTATATAGGCCAGGAAGTGGACCTCTTCGAAAATCGGGCAGATCTACAGATGATTTAGATAATGAAAATATCTCACAAGAAAAACCTAAATCAAGCTCCGTCCAACATCGCTTAAAACAATCACAACTCAATAGATCTAATCAATCTCAAAATAGTCCCCCATCATCTCAAGTTGAAAATGTAACAGAAAAATTGAATGATTTAAATATTAACTACAGAAGCATTACAAATATTGAACAGGCACAAAGTTCTTCTCAAAATAATCCTGGAGATTCAAGAAGAAAAATTAAAAAACCAGAACAACAATTATATGTACCAAAAAAAGTAAAAGAAGCATTGGCTGAACAGGATGTAACAAATAGGTGAATTCTAAAAAATATTTTTGTTTTGTTATTAATGAAGAATTACAGATTGAATAAAAATATTGTTCATATCACTTAGATCTCCCAATCAAGGAAGTTGGGAACGGGATCAAGAGAGAGAACATAGTGAAGATCGTGATTCTCATTCCAATCGTAGTCATAAAAGCGATAATCAACGTAATCGGTCGAGTGGTCACATTAGAAGAGATAGTGAAAGTGGAACTAAAAATCGAGATGAACATGGTAAAAGATATTCGGGTAATCGTAGAAATCGTCACGGAAATGAAAATGAAGAGCGTTGGCGATCTGATTCTCCTTTATCTAATAGAGGTTATGGAAATAGAAAAGATAATTCTCGTGAAATTAGACAGGTTTGGAATGATATGTTAATATTTTGTATTATATTTAATTATATATATATATAATTTTTAACATTTCTAACATTTTTTTATTTAGGGCTCAGAACCTCTTTTTGTAACAACGAATCATTTAAATGATTTTAATCGCACTAGAGATACACGTAGTGTAGAACCTGCTGGACATGCAGAAAAGTTTCAAGGCAAGCCACCATCAGGCAAGTGGGGTAGTGCAAAAGATAGTTTGCCAAAAAATATAAAAATAGAACATTTACCACCCAGATTACAGAAAAAATATCTTTTGGATAATGGTTTACCTTTACCACCAAGTTCATCACCTTCAGAAGATTCATGGAGTATTAATATCTCATTTCAGGTAAAATTAATATTATTTTAAAAAATATTTATCCATCTTTCAAATAAAGTTCTTTTGTTTGAAAATGTTAATTATATTTTTAAAGGCACCATCAAATTATAATTTTCCACCTGCAATACAACATTCTCAAACAATGCAAAATTTACCTCCATCTGGTCCATTACCTCCACAATCTAACTGGTCTAATACAGCACCATCGCGAACTAGAGGTAGAGGTAGACTTAGACCGGAAGATTTAGAAAGTTCAACGAACATTTTTAGGTGTGTTACACCTGATCAGTATTCAGCTCCAAGTTCCAGATCTCATACACCAAGTCAAGAATATATGCAAAGGTATGTATATAAATGTATACCATATTTTATTAAATTTTTAATATTTAATTTATCATTATTATATATGATACTAATTTAATAATTAATTTATTAAAAATAGATCTTACGATCGTCGTGGCAGTAATAGTACTATGTACACTAGTATGGAAAGTTTAAGTCGAGTAGATAGTTCAGTGTTGCCGTCATCAGCATCCCCAGTTATCTCAGTATCAAATGTGAACAAACGTCAAACATCACCCGAAAATCATCGTCGGGGAATATCTCCGTCTGCAACTTTACATCGTACTCAAACGTAATGATTTGTTTAAAGTAAATATTTAATATTTAAAATATATTTTAATCATTTGTTTTCGATTTTTTTTTAAGGCAAAGAATAAGTAATACATCTGACCGTAATATAACACAAGAAAAGAAAAACGATCAACAAAATTCAAGTATCAGTTCATTAAAAAATGAAATTGTTAGTATTACATCAAATATATCGGCTGAACATCCATTCGTAAGCATTTTATTTAAATGCATTTATTATTTATATTTAAACATATGTTATATTTAAGCATATTTATAATATATAGGATTGGAGCGAAGAAGTAGAATTAAGTGAAAAACTGGAAGCTGAGCGTGCAAGTCGTAGTTCATCTGTACTGAGTTTACGTGAAAATGTTAATGTATCAGGAAATGAAACAACAAGTAATCATAGTCGACGTAAAAAAAAAAAGCGTGAAAAGAAACATGCAGCAGATCGTGGGAGGTAAGAGTTATTAGAATTTATATTTTTTATATTTTTTCTTTATATATCGAGAATTTCATCTAATAAATTTATTTATTTATTTTTTTATATTTTTTAAGAAGTAACAGCAGAGATAAAACTCGTGTTAATAGTCGTGATCGACAAAACAATCAACAAAATAGAGAAAATGATAACTATAATAATAATCAAAAGAATAGTAGCAGTAATAGAAGATACGATCATAGAAGACATCGCAATATTATACAGCGTAGCCGAGAATCTAGTAAAGATAGAAATTATCGTGGTGGTAATCGAAACTTTGATGACCTTCATAGACATAGGTATAAATAAATTTAAAATGTTGGAATTCACATTATCTTAAACTTTAATTTTATTAATTTATTAATGTGTGTAAAATTAATATTTTATTAATGTGTGATTTTCAGATTATCTGATCGATATTTAGATGAGAATTGGAGAACAGGTAGAAAAATGTCAATTTGTGACTCTGACGATGGACGACAAACACCTAATATTTCTTCTCATTCTATCTCGTTGTCAAATACTTTATCCACACACCAAACATCTCCTAGTGGATATACCAGTTCTCAACCACCAGGTGTTTTAGTGTTACCCGATACTAGCCAATCTCCGCCTAGTCATCCAGTTTCGAGGCAACAAGGAACACAACAGCAAAGAACGTTGTTTGATCCCAATAATCCTAATAAACCTATTGTTATTACTTCACCCAGTAGTAGAGCAGTAGTACAAAGGTATAAATATATTAAAAAATATTTATTTTTTTTTATTGAATTATTTATTAATGTTAAAAAAAAAATTAATTGATCCGTTTGCTTTACTTTTAGAGAAACTGAAACAATATCTCAAGGTTCGACTATACCAGTGTTTCAATCCCATGGAGGTATTACTTCTACTCATCATAGTTTTCAGGGAGCACATTTAGATGGTGTACCACCACCATATATGACAAATGACCAATTTGGAAATATAAGACCTTCGTGGTATGATCCTTACTCTGATAGGTATGTGAATCTTTTATAAATTATGAATAAAAATAAGAATAATTAATTATATTAATAATAATAATTTGTAATTTTTCGTTCAATAGTTTCCGATTAGCCAAAAATCCTTATTTACTCTTGGATATAGAACGTGCTGATTTAGAATTGCAATGGATATTAAGTTCCGGTGGTTTTACATCAAATTGGGAGAGGGTTTTATATATAAGACACTTTCTACAAGAAAGTTTAAAAACTTTGCTCGAGACTGATATTAAATTTTGCCAAGCTGAGAATGTTGAACAACATTTTTGGAAAATACTTTTTTATAATATGATTGAAATGCTACGAAAAGGCATGCCTAAGGAAAGTTCTGAAGGGCGAGAACATTATAAAAAAATTATGTTACAAATTATTGACGATGGTACTGTATATTTAGAGAGTTTATTGACTGTCCTTGAAACCAAATATGAATTTAAATTGGATACATTTCTTGCATCGTCAACTTTGCCTAAGGGTCTTGGGATCTTAGGTTTAGCCTTAGTAAGTGCGCAAAAAATATATCTATTTTTGGGCGACTTGGCGCGATATAGAGAACAAGCAAATGAAACAAATAATTATGGAAAATCTAGACAGTAAGTGCAAATAAACTGTTAATAGTATTACATTTTGTAAAAATAGCATGTTTTTTTCCAAAGTTTCTCTCTACTTTTTTTTTAGATGGTATTTAAAAGCACAACAACTTAATCCAAAAAATGGAAGGCCCTACAATCAGCTTGCATTGTTAGCACATTATGCTGTATGTATTTTTATATTACAAACAATATATATATATATATATATATATATATATATATATATATATATATATT